TGGGAATTATATTTTTATATGTGGTGGGGGGAGGGACTGGGAATTATATTTTGTAATATGTTATATTTGTCGAGCGGCCCCCATGGGAGAAATTTTTTTTTTATCTAGTGGCCCCCTAGGGAATTGAGTTTGAGACCCCTGATGTAATGGAAGTCATCTAATCAGGTTTCTTTGGAAGAAAATTCTCTATAGGTGTTGTACAGAAAATGTTTCATGACCCAGGTCACAGGTCCAACTGGTCAGGACCTTTATCACAGCAACAAATTCAAAGAAGTTCTCCACTTTTCTGAAAATGGACAACCCTTTGAAGAAACTACAAATCTAATAACTCCATATCTCGGGGTTACCGTGAACATACCACATGATAAAACATGTCATTCCTCTTCTAGGTGTGACATTCACCCGGAAATTTCCAGAGAGGAGGTCGGGAAGGTCTGGAAAACGTTGATCCAGAATCAGGACCAGACGGTGGACTACTTCCAGTTCGTCAGACACTTTGGCTTTTCCGTCAAGTCTTCATGTTTCCCCAACGCCAAGATCTCTCCGCCGGTGCGAGGCGACGGCGACTGTCTGATCCGCTCTCTGAAACTGAATTCCGACACCAAGATCATCGCAAATTTCCTGCAGACCAAGGTAGGAGAATCCATTCTACGTGCCCTCACCCTTGTGATGGTCTTCAGGAACGTCATCAACTCGGCATCAGCGATCAGAAGAATTGTTTCTGGATTTTTCTTCTGTCTTTAGACGTTTTGTGCCGCAATCTCTTTTGCCGTTTGGAATTCTTTGTTTCATTGAGTAGCAGGCCGGTCCTCCCGATGTTTTCTCTGTGGAGTGGAAGCCATGGGACCAGTTTAAAGGAGAACTATGAGGGGGGAGGGGAGTGCTTTTCACTCACCTCATAGTTCTAGCCGACCTGTGACAATGAGACTGTCACAGGTCGGCTCAGTAGATCGGGAGGTGAGAGAACACATACCGGCGTTCGCTCACTTCTCGATCCTGTCACGGCTCTCTGCCGTGACAGGGGGAGGGGCTGGATTCCCCTCTCCCCGCTCCGATCTGCCAGCGCTGACTGGCGGAACGGACAGGGGAGGGGGCGGGTACAGCTGGCTCTGCCTCTAGATAGGCAGAGCCAGCTGTCACGCAGCTGGGTGGATCCCATCGTCTAAGTCCGGATCCGCTCCGGCTGCGGCGTCTCAGTATACCGCGAGCTGTAGCTCCCTATATACTGAGCCTAGGGTGACGGGAGGACGCTAGTTTGTGTCCTCCCGTTACCCTAAGGAGAACTATGGGGAAAAACACTGACCCCATAGTTCTCCTTTAAGGTCAACTGAGATTCATTAAAGAACCCGTCTCCTCTGCTATTTGTTAAAGTTAGAGAGCAGAAATAAATGGGGGTCATGTGATGTCTCATCGAATGTCACTTCTACAATCACCCCGTCATGTCTCAGCAAATGTAGCATTTTAATGCCGAGTATTCGGTATTCGTTGATAACTGTCACAGCTTTGCATGAATTCCTGTCTTCTCAAATGCAAGTTTTCTGACTCATCTCATCTCCAGTTCCGGGTTTATTGGGGCTTTGAAATACTTATTTGCATATATTTCTCTATACTGAGGCAGAGAGAAGAGAAGACAAGTGAGAAGGTAGAAAGAATAGAGGAGGAAGGAGAGAGATAGGAGGATAGAGAGGGGGAGAGAAAGAAGAGAGGAGAGAGAGAGGAGGGGAGAAGAGAGAGGAGGGGAGAAGAGAGAGGGGGGAGTGATAGAGAGAGAGAGAGGAGGGAGAGAGAGAGAGGGAGGGAGAGAGAGGGAAGGGGGGAGAAGAGAGAGGAGGGGAGAAGAGAGAGGGGGAGGGATAGAGAGAGAGAGGAGGGAGAGAGAGAGGGGGAGGGAGAGAGAGGGAAGGGGGGAGAAGAGAGAGGAGGGGAGAAGAGAGGGAGAGAGAGAGGGAGACAGAGAGAGAGGGAAGGAGGGAGAGAGAGAGGAGGGGAGGAGAGAGATAGAGGGTGAGGGAGGGAGAGAGAGAGAGGAGGGGAGAAGAGAGAGAGGAGAGAGAGAGAAGAGAGGGGAGGGAGGGAGAGAGAGAGGAGTGGAGGAGAGAGAGATAGAAGAGAGGGGAGAGAGGAGGGGAGAAGAGAGAGGAGGATAGAGAGAGAGAAGGGAGAGAGAGAGGAAAGAGAGTGGGGATAGAGATAAGAGAGGGAAGAGAGGGAGAGGGGAGAAAGAGGAAAGGTGTGTGTCCTTTGGGGTGATATGGTGTTTAGAAATGCTGCAAGCTGCTATCATTCCTTCCATAGGGGGAAAGGTAACTCTAATAGTTTTTACTGCTGCCAATGATTGCAGTGATATTTCCTTCCATCCTATTCCCATCAGGAAAATGTATAGTAAAAAGGCATGGAGAGACACACTTCAATGATGAATAGGATAGAATGGATTAGGATAGGATAGTCCTTTGCACCAATCAGGGCTGGGATAGACTCCCAAAAGAAATGGAGTCCCTTGTCTGTTCTGCACAGTGGCACTTTGCTGTATAGATTGCGACTCCATTACCCTGCCAGCATTAACATCCAAACTCCAGACTGATATGCACTGCTGCATTATATTTGTGTATTTATGTCATTTTTTTTACAATGCAAACAGAATGTGACTTGCTATCAGCCTTGTGCAGCTTATGTGCAGCAGAGCTCAGAGTACCAAAGGGAGAAGCAGCTCAGAAGTCAGTTGCGCTGCATTGCTTATCTACTAATAACAGACATGTTGATAGAAGGAGAAGACAGAGTGAGTGAGAGAGAGAGATTAGAAAGCAGAGTGATGCACTCCTCAGTCTACTGCCCTTCCTGTCAGCGTCCAATCACAGGCTGGAGGAGGAGCAAGACCTGTAAGAGTTACTTAACAGCAGCAGAGGAAAATTAGGCCTCATGCCCTGCCAGACAGGACAGAGCTGTGTAAATCTCAGAATTGGATGGACAGAAATACAAATCCTTTGGCCAGCTACATTATTTGTATTGCATCTGTGTGTGTTTAGCTGTCTCCTGCATGTCAGCTGGTACCAATAGATTGCTCTACAATGTAGCTAATCATATCTTCCCGTCCATTGAGATATATAAGATCCAGCTCCCCGTTTCTCTTCCCTGATCCGTGTATCAGTCCCTCTGTAAGGGGAACATAGGGCATTCTCCGGCCCCCGTCCATAGACCGCCTGCGTTCCCATGATGGAGGGATAGCCCATCCATAATTTGATGGAAACATTGTATCTCCTGAGACAGTGTTCCCATTTCATCCTCAATTAGTCTGCGCCGGGGAAAAAGGACCCGGGAGGACAATGGGCCCAGTGTGCGCGGGAAGACATTGACGGGCCGGCTAATGGAGCCGGGAATAAAGAGCCCCGATCCTAATCGTGGAGAGCTTTTATTCCGCGGTCCGGGTTAGGGTGGGTTGTGCTGAGAGGAAACCGGAGAAGGAGATGTTATAGACCCGAACGTTATATAATGAGCGGCGGGGGCTCAATGCCGGGCTAATCGTGTTTGTAAGTGGACCAGTGCGGCCCTTTGTCCTGTAAATGGGGGGTGGGGGGGATTCGCTCAGCCACACGTTAACCCTTCCTGCGGATAGTGAACCTCGCAGCCAGGTCCAGTGACAACGTTCAGACCGGAGAGATCCTCCGGAACGCGTGAATAAAATGTTGATACAACATTGCTGCGTCAATGTAAGAGCCATTATTGGGTTGGTGTCAGTCTGGCGGAGTGGGCGTTCCTAGACAGACTCCATGCAGGCCACTGTAGGTAACTCCAACATGTGGTGCTGAGCCTGCGTGATTGAAAGAGCCTAAATCAAAAGGGGCGGGGCCAGAGACAGTAAGGCTGGGGAGGAAAGTTCTAGGTGATGCTGGGCATCCTGCAGCCAGGAAATTAGGCGGGCTCTCTCTGACTTGCTGTAGCTTCCAATGCGCATTGAGGGCAGCTTCTCCCTCACAAGGTGGGGGCCCCGCGGGTACTGATGTCATGGGGTGTCTGAATATATTCCTGTGTCCTGTGTTTTAGGTCAAGCTCCTCCTCCCTGACCTCTGGAGACAGTTCCGGGAATCGGACCCTCAAAATTCCGGATGTGTCACCAAAGAAGAGTTCCTTGACACTGTGCAGGAGCTGAGCCCGGACCTGACTGATCACCAGTGTGACACTTTAGCTGCAAAGTTCGGTCACGGGCCAAATAAGTAAGCCGACTGCTGCAACACTGACCTAAGCCAACCTTTCTCAACCAGGGGGCCACCAGGCTTCCTCAGGGGTGGGGTCACATTTTCACTCAGGGTCATGCCTTTTTATGGTGCACACAGGCCGGCCACCAGCACCATGGAAAAGCATGACGCTAAAAGCGGGTGGCATCTAAAACTGCCCCAGTCCACTCCATCCAGAACTACCCCACCTCCTGTCCTCTACCATGCTATGGGGAAGATGTGAAGGGGGGATTCTGATGTGAAGGGGGGACTCTGATGTTAAGAGGGACTCCAATGTGAAGGGATGACTCTGATGTGAAGGGGGGACTCTGATAAATGTTAAGGGAGGAATCTGATGTGAAGGGGGAGCTCATATTTTAAAGGGGAGTTCTGATGGGGAGTTCTGATGTGGACTCCAGATGTGAAGGGGGCCTATTTTTTTGGGTATTATTTTGCGTGGTGTGCCCCCTAAAGATCCACACAACACCCCTCTCTAGGACAAGAGTCTGGTGTTAATCTTGGGGACCACACAGGGTGCCTGGAGAGATTGCATACTTTTAAAGGGCGCAATGACTGAAAGAAGGATCAGAAACACTGATATAAACTTCTACAAATTCTTACTTCTGTAATTGCAGAATTTCGTATGTGAAGTTCCTTCAGCCGTACCAGACCGGAACCCCCCCAATCAAACACAATGGAGGGAGAGCAGCAACAGCGGAGGCCAAGGTGACCCCTCCACAGTGGCCCATGGATCCCGGTCTGAATGTCATCACCTCCAAACTACGACAGAAGGTATTCCAACAGGTTTCTGTGTTATAGGATACCAGAAGAGTGAGGTGTTAAAAAATGGCGCAAAAATAGTAAAAGTCCGTCACCGTCATATAACGATGAAGTAACAAAGGTTCAGCCCAATAAAAGCTCGTACTTCAGTGTTTGGTGGATGCTGACAGAGACTTCTATACCTTGGGATCTCTGTAGGTAAGATTCCTGTGCTGAGTTCCTGTACACCTGCTGTGCCCATTATGAGGAGCTCCCACCATCCCTGTGCTGAGTTCCCGGGTCTGTACACCAGCTGTGCCCATTATGAGGGGCCCCCACCATCCCTGTGCTGAGTTCCCGGGTCTGTACACCAGCTGTGCCCATTATGAGGGGCCCCCACCATCCCTGTGCTGAGTTCCCAGGTCTGTACACCCGCTGTGCCCATTATGAGGGGCCCCCACCATCCTCATCCTTTCAGGTGGACTGATCCTTTAATTCTGATCTTATATTTATAAACGTCAGAACTGTACAATCCCGAGGAACGCAGCGCTCATAGTAATCTGTCTCCGGTTGCTTTCCAGCTCTCCTCTGGGGATTGGAGGAACCTTCTTCATACATGCCAGAAACTGGACACAGACGGTTCTGGTTTCCTCCTCCTCCCGGAGTTCCGGTCGGTGGTGAAACTCTGCAACATGGTCCTGGATGAAGATGACATTTATGCGTTCATGTCTCACTATGATAGAGATCTAGCTGGGAAGATCGACTACTCGCGGCTTGTGTCTGATCAGAAGAGGAAGTGATGACGGAAGAGAAAAACCAACGCAGAGGATGGAAAAGATATTTCGCCTTCCCTGGTTCCTCCCCTCCCCCCTCCAATGAAACTTTGAAATAAAACCTTTCCATTATCATTCCATAACTTATTTTATATCAGGTGATGTCATCATTGTTTGGTTGGGGTCGCATTCTATGTTCTCACCTAGGGGAACCTTCCTTCACCTCAGCTTGTTGTTAGATAGATAGATAGATAGATAGATAGATAGATAGATAGATCGATCAGTGGTGTATCCACCGCAAGGCAAACAAGGCATTTGCCTTGCTCGACACTTTGCAGGGGGCAGTTAAAAATGCCGCCCCCACCTTAGTGAGGCAAGCCTGACACACAGAATCGGGCAGCCTTAGCTGCCTAATCAGGCAAATTTGTCTGAGAGAGCTGTCAGGTGAAAGACGAGGTGGGGCCAGGGGGAGGCTGCGGGCGGCTCGAGGCTGCAGGATGAAGCCCACCATCTGACAGCGGCATGTCCTGGAGGCAGGCTGGGGGGCAGCACGTGTGTGCAGGGAAAGGGACCCTGCGAAGCCCACCTGAGAGTCTAAGGTGAGCTGCGCAGGATCTTTGGTGGGCTGTGGTGGGGTCAGCAGGGCCTCAGGTGGACTGTGCAAGGTCTCAGGTGGACTGTGCAAGGTCTCAGGTGGACTGTGCAAGGTCTCAGGTGGACTGTGCAAGGTCTCAGGTGGGCTCTGCAGAGTCTGTAGTGGAAACAAGGGACAAGACAGAGCGCCTCCATAGTGTAAAAGTGTAATTTATTTGTACAACAAGCAAATAAAAATCTACTTACAGGAAAGTCGGTGGTTAAAAGCATACAAATGGTGATGAAGTATAAAATCTCTAGCAGCGGAAGTCTGAAGGAGTACAGCACATCAGCATCCTCTGCCCCCTTGAGTTCTAAAGGTCTACGCGTTTCAGGGGCATGCCCCCTTCATCAGAACCTCAGAGAACTCTCCTGTATCCTGCTCTTTTAAGTCTGTAGTGGGGTCATTGGTGGGCTCTGCAGGGTCTACAATGGTCTCTGTGAGTTATCTGGTGGGGTCTACAATGGTCTCTGTGAGTTATCTGGTGGGGTCTGCAGGGTCTACAATGGTCTCTGTGAGTTATCTATGATAGGCTGTCTGAGGTCTCTTGTGGGGTCTACATGGACTCGGGTGGGCTGTGCAAAGCCTATGGTGAGCTCTGCAGGGTCTATGGTAGGCTGTCTGAGGTCTCTTGTGGGGTCTACATGGACTCGGGTGGGCTGTGCAAAGCCTATGGTGAGCTCTGCAGGGTCTATGGTAGGCTGCCTGAGGTCTCTTGTGGGGTCTACATGGACTCAGGTGGGCTGTGTAAAGTCTATGGTGAGGTCTCAGGTGGGCTGTGCAGGGTCTATGGTGAGCTCTGCAGGGTCTCAGGGCCCAGCAGAGCCCACCAGAGATCCTCCGCAGCCCACCTGAGTCCCCCGGCTTCCCTGCTACGCTAATAGTGCAACCTGTCAGAAGCTGGGTACAGCATTTGCTCTGTATCCAGCAACTGACAGGTTATGCAAAATCCCTTAAACAGGAAGGGGTGAGGCAAATTTTTATTGGGGGGGGTGCCCGAGTTTCGTCTTGCCTAGGGCAGCACGAAACCTGTCAGACATCCTGTCAGATCTTTGTGGTGACACCTCGGGGGAATCTTCTCTGAGCTCCTCATCACATCTCTGCCGGGTTCGGTTCTGTGTTCTGTCTTCTCATTTATGATTCATTTCGGGAGTCGGGAACCGTCCACATCTTCGGCGGCTTCATCGTCACAACCGGCGGCACGGCTCCTGCCATCTCTTTTGTCTTTCTTGGTGTCGGACATTTTCCTTTTCTTCTTTCATCTGGAAGGGACATCGGATCTTTCTGAATGTCTGATACAAGTCACCAGCATGGCGGAGCTCGTCTCTCTCTTCATTCTATTCTTCTATTTCCTCTGATACACCAGCCGGGGATGCTGAACTAAGAAGTCAATATTGGATACAATGAAACAGAAATCACAACTGAATCAGAAGAATCCTAAACTCAGCATTTTATTCCAGCGGCATCCAGCTCTGTGGTTACAGGTTCCAAAATTAAAGAGGACCTGTCATCAAGTCTCCATCAATAAATCCACCAACATGACACAATATAGAGCAACAGGATCATTGTTCAGAAAAGCTCCAACTTTTATTACTCAAAAGCCAACCATGAGCTCCAGTTAGTGCGTTTGCCGAGGCTGAGATGATGTCATCAGTCTGCTGCAGGCAGGAGAAAGCATCTCCTCAGTCTCCCCTCCCCCAGTGATTCCAAGCTGATAAAACGGTTAGAGATAGCAGATTGTAATTAATGATTTGCTGCTCATGCACAGGGCCGGATTTCCCACAAGGCCAACCAAGGCACGGCCTCGGGGCAGCAGGGAGTAGAGGGGCAGCAGGGGTATGGAATTCTTATCTCCCGATGCCCAGGACATGCAGTTGCGGGCGCCGGGCGGGTAGTTGTTTTCTACATTTAGCCCGGCTTTGGGCAAGCAGAGCTAAATGTATAGCGGGGAAGCTGCCACTTGTTTTGTACAAGTGATCCCGGCGATGTCGCCGAGTTCACTTGTATGCAGCCTGCAGGTCTGCCATTCTCCATGGGGAGGGGTTTAGCGGGTTGGGGGGCGCATTGAGGAACCTGGCCTTTGGGCAGCAGAGAGTAAATGCGGCCCTGCTCATGCACATTCTTAAATGTGTGATTTAATATGTAGAATGTTTATATTGCAGGGGGTCCAACATGGCGCCTGTCTAGGATTGGACCAGAGGGTCAGATCCTTGGGTAGTGCCAGTCTAGGAACCTCCACATGTGCCAGTTACTCTCTTTCTAATCTTTACTTTGTATCTCTTCTCTTGTGAAGTCTTCTCCAGGAAGTTGATTTCCTTATCGGTATTTTTCCAGGAAATCAGATGACAAGAAGGAAACGTGATCGTGCGTACAATGGTCGGACTTACCACGCGAGAGACGCGGCGCTGTTATCGGTGCCTTCATCGCGCGCTGTTGTGACTGAGGCAATTCTATTCGTCCGTCATTCTGATGCAGATTACACGTATAGACAGACGCCTGTGTAATATAAACCGCTGTCCGCTTCCCGGAATGCCGCTGCTGCCCCGATTAGGCTGCGCCTTTTGTGCGCCCGCTCTGAATAGCGAGATCGGCTTTCGGGGCCGCAATGAGACGCTGGATTTTTCAATGAGATCATCTCGGGAGATTGAACGTATTTACTCCATACAAACAGCCGCGGCTCTCCCAACCAAAGGCTTTACATTGTTGCGGGCGATGCATTTCGGGCTATTAAAAGGTTAAAGGGGAATCGCTGATTGGATCAAGTTTCTTCTTACAGCAAAAGTGGAAGGAAACTCCATACCCTCCGAAGAATCCCAATGAGGGAAAGAGTCCCTGCCATAGGAGGTGGAGAGTCCCTGCCATAGGAGGAAAAGAGTCCCTGCCATAAGAGAGAAAGAGTCCCTGCCATAGGAAGGAAAGAGTCCCTGCCATAGGAGACAAAGAGTCCCTGCCATAGGAGGAAAAGAGTCCCTGCAATAGGAGAGAAAGAGTCCCTGCCATAAGAGAAAAAGAGTCCCTGCCATAGGAGGGAAAGAGTCCCTGCCATAGGAAGGAAAGAGTCCCTGCCATAGGAGACAAAGAGTCCCTGCCATAGGAGGAAAAGAGTCCCTGCAATAGGAGAGAAAGAGTCCCTGCCATAAGAGAAAAAGAGTCCCTGCCATAGGAGGGAAAGAGTCCCTGCCATAGGAAGGAAAGAGTCCCTGCCATAGGAGACAAAGAGTCCCTGCCATAGGAGGAAAAGAGTCCCTGCAATAGGAGAGAAAGAGTCCCTGCCATAAGAGAAAAAGAGTCCCTGCCATAGGAGACAAAGAGTCCCTGCCATAGGAGACAAAGAGTCCCCGCCATAGGAGACAAAGGGTTCCTGCCATAGGAGAGAAAGAGTCCCTGCCATAGGAAGGAAAGAGTCCCTGCCATAGGAAGGAAAGAGTCCCTGCCATAGGAAGGAAAGAGTCCCTGCCATAGGAAGGAAAGAGTCCCTGCCATAGGAGGGAAACCCCCCCCCCCCCACCTGTTTTGTCAGTACAGCATTACTAATTAGTAGTTTTTCAGACAGTCACAGAGTCTTTAATACCAACAGCGCAAAGAAAATCCCCCTCCCATCTGAGTCCACTGTTTAGGATCTTGTGCCGCCATTTTATTTATTGCATCATTGGGGGGCTGGTTTCATCTTCCTGCTTTTCAGGGCGGACTCACTGGTGACATCCATTTTACTTGCACTCAGATTTCTGTAAATTTAGTTTTTTTATTTTCTTTCATGAAGGGCCGGTTCACTCCATAAGCGGTCAGGCTCTGGAACGCACTGCATCGCACTCCAGCCGGCTCCCTGCGTTCAGAGGCAGAAGAGGCCGTGGCGGGGGAATTGAAGTCAATGACACTGCAGCCACGTCCCCCGCCTGCAGTGCGATCGCCCGCATCTGAACATGTAGCACATTAGTGCCTGTGTTCCGGTCCAGTGTGATCTGCAAAAATGTCAAAGTGTGACAATGAGACTGTCACAGGTCGGCTCAGTAGATCGGGAAGTGAGCAAACACATACCGGCGTTCGCTCACCTCTCGATCCTGTCCCTGCAGATAGATGTGACTGTCACTCACCGCTCCCCGCAGGGACTCCTCCCCTCCCCGCTCCGATCCTCCAGCGCTGAGTGGAGGAATGGACAGGGGAGGGGGCGGGTGCAGCTGGGTGGATCTCGACAGTAATGCCGGGATCTGTCCCCGCTGCGGCGGTCTCGGTATACCGCGAGCTGTAGCTCCCTATATACTGAGCTTTGGGTCACTGGAGGACATAAACTAACCTCCTCCCTTAAAAAACACTGACCCCATAGTTCTCCGTTAAAGGTCAAATGTGCTGTGAATGGTGCATGTTTCCATTACATCACATGTTGGCAGCTATTGTTTGTGCGTGT